GCTGTTTTGCTACTAGCGGTCCCCGAGCTAATTAATTTGGACAGAGGTGCCAGAAGTCCCTGGAGGAGTAGGTCACACCACTCTTGTTGAGTGCTCAGCTACTTGCTGCACTCACTGTCCTGGTGCTATAGTTAGAGCAAACGTCCAACAGCCAAGGCTAATTCACTGATGTAAGTGGAGGAGTCCAGTTCATGCACAAGAGTGAGGAGGTAGCAAGAAAACTGCATAAAAGATTCAAACGCAAAAAGACTGATGCTTTTTCCCTGTTTTTTTTTCTTATCTTTCATATATTGCCCCATCTCAAATGCAAAAAGGCTGATGCTTTTTCCCTGGTTTTTTTCTTATCTTTCATATATTGCCCCATCCCTGGAGGAAGGGTTCAAGGCCAGGTTGGACGGGGCTTTGAGCAACCTGGTCTAGTGGGAGGTGACCCTACCCAGGGCGGTGGTTTGGAACAAGATGATCTTTAAGGTCCCTTCCAACCCAAACCATTCTGTGATTCTATATTCAACTAGTGAAATGCCTACAATAGATATGATGTTTAACTGGATTCATTTTAATATAGGGTTTGGTCCCAGAGCTTGGAGGACAGCTTGGGACACTGTCTTTTTTTGTTTCTCACTCATTTTTTTTCTCCAATATTCATCAACTTTCAGCTGTCACTGCTTCAAAAGCTGATCCTCCAGTTATTAGACAAAAGTTCCTTTTTGCCTGAGCGAGAGCAGTGACCATGTACAGGATCTGGCCTTCTTTTTCTTCTCAGATGTCTCTTTGTCTATAGTCATAAATTATCAGGCACTGCCATCTTTTAAATAGATTGTTTCCTGTTCTGCTTCTTGTAGGTTAGATATTATCTCCTACAGTAAATCATGAGTCAGTGATTAATTCAAGAGCTGTCACTACTTCAAAAGCTGATCCTCCAGTTATTAGACAAAAGTTCCTTTTTGCCTGAGCGAGAGCAGTGACCATGTACAGGATCTGGCCTTCTTTTTCTTCTCAGATGTCTCTTTGTCTATAGTCATAAATTATCAGGCACTGCCATCTTTTAAATAGATTGTTTCCTGTTCTGCTTCTTGTAGGTTAGATATTATCTCCTACAGTAAATCATGAGTCAGTGATTAATTCAAGAAGGCCGTTCCCAGAAGCAAATTCTTACAATGTTAAAAATAATACGATGCGAATCCATTATAGTATGATATAGAAAATAATTATGGCCTGCAAACCAGTTTAATCAACTTAGAACATGCCGGGGCAGGTACGTAGTTGGAGTGAGTCATTATAGGAAAGTTCAGAGTCTCAGTGTATGGGTTGTGTGAGTGAACATGATTACCCCATGTCAGCTGAGTCTTGGTAACTCCATACGTGTGCTTCTTTGCACACCCAGATGGTGAGGCAAGATGTGTTTGTTTAAAACACCTTCGCTGATGTTTAAACTCTATCAAATTACTTTATAAAAGCATGAATTGCTTCAAGAACACACATGCAGCCAGTTAAGACGTCTCGGCTGATGAGTAGCAACCTATTAAGCTTATTAAATCGTGTTGTCTTCATTCTGTCTTAAACAGCTATGCAAAGTCATCAAATACCATAAAGCATCAACATGCTCTGCCTCACCACACTGTGGATGTGTCTTGCATTTTGTGGATGTATCTTGCATTAAAATGCAGTTTCAAAGGGGAAGGCTCACTAGGAAATGGCTGCAACGCAGACAATGCTGAGCAGAAAAAGACAAAAACTCTCTCTAAAGTATAACAAAACAATCAAAAAGTAATCACAGCTATAGCAAGACACCATTGAAGGGATAGAAAAGTCCATTAGCAGTGCATATATTATTATAAACTATCTGATAATTGTTAATAACACTTTGTGTTTTGTTAATATCTTCCCTATCTGAAAACATTCTGAATTCCTGTGGACCAAAGCTTACAACACCCCGGTGATGCCTGGTGACCGTGGCATGGGTGGGGAGCATCAGGCAGAGAACAGTTAAGTGACTTACACAAGGGTGAATCAGCAGGAGGTTGAGGAACTGAACCCGAAGGTGAGGTCCTGGGCTGATCTAAACTGGCAGAGCTCCACGGCGAGTGGAAGGGCACAGGCAATCACACCACTTGTACGTATGCAGACCTGATTCCCAACTCTGAGGTTGAACCTCAAAACCCAGTACCTGTTACAGGTGCAACATTCACCTGCCTTGAGCTTCTTGGCAGAAGTTCCCTCTAACCAACCAACGCAGGTCGGGTTTCTGGGATGAAATCTCCTGGGATGATATGGGGTCTTTTTGGTATCAATGTGGCAAGGACAGGGGTTGCTGCTGTCCCAGGGCCAGAGATGTGTTCCTCCTCCTGTGGTATTGAGGAGTTACTGCCAGATGTGTGCTCAAGGTTCACGACAGCTTGGGGTGAGAGAGCAGATCAGGCAGAAACACCTGACCTCACTATTTTCTGTCCTCCCAAATCTTACATGGTCTTGATTGGGTGCTGGAGTGGGCATTTTCTCAGCCTTCCTAGCAATGGGTTGTTGGAACACGTCAGAGATTTCCCTTGCTAAAGTCTTGCTTGGACTGAAAACATGACAAGATCTTGTAGGAGACCTGGATAGAGATTTCCTTGCAGGCAGTGCGTGGAACCTGGAAACAGAGGGAGCAAGTTTTAGGAATAACTCTGAGAGCAGCGATGTTGGAAGAGAGCCATGGTCCATACAGTCCATATACGTCCATACGTATCTAAACTTTTAAACCCTGCTTAAAATTGGTCTTACTGGCCCTTATGGCTGTGAGTTCCACAAATGATCTACTATTAATTATTTTATGTTTTACTAGTATACGTGTTGCACCAAACAGCTTTCATGGTAAATCGCCATCCCAGTTTACAAATGGAGAATGAACACTGTTTGTACTACTTCCTTCTTTCAAGTTTAAATTTATTGGATTTTAAGTTTATGATGATATTCTTCTGTTTTGTATGTGTTGTAGCTTAGGCCAAATTGGCCAATACGGGAGAAGCTAATTTTCATTTTTCTTAATTATCTCACATACACTTCAGGCCATCTTATTTGCCTTCTCTCTAAATTAAACATCTTCAGTGTGTTCAATTTTTACGGGGACTCTAATGATCATATCTCTTATTTCTAAATTGAGTCTATTTCTGCCATAGCCTTTTTTTAGAGTTAGGGTGGCCAGAACTAAACGTAACATTCCAGCTGAAGGCGTACCAGGAGCATAAATGATGGTATTACTGTGTTTCCTAAATCATTTTCCAAGCTGTCACTTGCACCCCTGGATTTTACGCTTTAATTGTAAATGTGCATTGAGGTAGGTGTCTTCATTGTTTCAAAATTATAATCCTTTAATGCAAGTTGCATGGAAAACTGAATCTTCCCGAGTATGAGGAAGATCAAATTTCCCTACTGTCTACATGGCAATTTGTATAGACTGGGAGCCCCAGCAAATCAAAAAAATCTCACCTGTAACATCTGAGCTGGACCTCATTAATTCAGCATGTGGGCAGGATGCATTACTTGCAGCTACCACACCTTTCCTGCCTTTGGTCTCTTTTTGGGCTTTTCAAAAAAAAGAGGACTGGGCAGGATTCTATTTATAGAGCCAAATAAATCAAAAAGTGCCTGTGTTGTACATGATACAACACAGCTTTTCAGGTGTGGTCCCATGAAGTGCTGAATGCCCTTGGTAGAATGACCTACTTCTGCCATTCCCAGGTAAAAAGGTGGGATTTGGGACCACAAAAGATGAAAGAAATAGCTTTGTACTAACATAAATGTGAAATGATTCCAGTGTGTAGGATGGAAAGAGCTGAAGTTCCTGGTCTTTGAGAGCACTCTACCATTATGTGAACTTCATTAATTGTCTCGTCTGCCAGGTACCTGTGGAAAACTTTCTGGAAGTGACTTAGTTCCTACTCTGATGAGTTCAGAGCTGGAGCCAGACAATGATCAGATGCCCCCCAAAAAACAGCACAGGCCTAACAGTGAGCGAAAGAGAACAGGATGCATGGGATTGAAGAACAAGATAATGTCAAGCTGAGAGTAGAAAATAAAGTAATTTGGGCATTATTACACCCATGCAAAGACACGAGGCTGAGTGAAGGGATTTGATTGCATAGAAGCTTTTGCAGGATCAAGAAGGAGCAGGAAAGATGCAAGGTTAAAAGTGGGGAAATGGCAGCCTGCATAGGGTGAGTTATATGATTGATTAAAATTTAATATGGTTAATTAAAAATCACCATCCAGACAGGGCTGTGCTGGTGGCCACCCAGCAGCAGCAACCCTGGAAGGACTCGTTCCCCCTTAAGAAACAACCAGGAATGGCAGGGAGAAGATTGGAGGCTCTTGCTCTGCTTGGTCTTGCAAAAGAGCAGACTAAAGGGAAGAAGAGATGGGAGTGGGCAGGCAGCGCTGTCTGCTGGAGAAGATGCTGTTGATTTACAGTGAGATCATGGGCAAATCACTTCACCAGTCTGTTTTTCTACTGCAGCTGAGCTGTTTCTTGCTACATGCACGGACAAGTGTAACAGTCCTACTACAGTGCTAAAAATAATAAACCCCAAACGTGTGTCACTTTCATTAAAACTGGAAGAGAATCCAGGTTTCCAGTTTTTGTTATTTGTATATGTAATCCTTGCAGATTTGGCCTTCCTCAGAAAAATGCCACCAGAGCTATAATGCAAATAGTCACAAATAATCTTTTCCACCTGTTTTTCTCTGCAGGGGAATGCTCCAGGACAAACCAAAAGCTGAGGTATGCGGTGTAACTTGGGGAACTTCAGCAGAGCTGCTCTGACCTTCGTGGTGTTTCGGTTTAGCCCCTGAGTGACACTCCTGGGATGCCAAACTTACAGGAGGAGAGTTCTGAAGATGTGGTCTGAGGATTTGTCCTCACGGAGTAGGCAGGGATTCTGAGCTAGCTCTTTTTTTATCAACCCCAAGAACTAGAAGCAGAAGAGGCACTGCTCTGCTCTGCTCTTTGGCTCACATCTCCACCTGGCCCTGCCATGTGGAAGCCCCGCCACGTGCTTGAGGTTCTCCACCCTGTGGTCCATGGACCAAGAGGGTTGTGCTGAGGAAAGCAAGATTGGTTCAATTTGCTAGAACTGCCTATTAAAATTGCAGCAGGTTTCCAAAGCAGCAGATAAAAAACTGCATCTGCAAGCTCCGTTCCCTGGTGTTGCCCAGGCTTGGTTGCTCCTGCTGACCAGCCTGCTGAGGCTTGGATGGAGTCCCACGCTCAGCCCTGCCCCATAAAGGGGAGTTACTACTCCAGCAGCACGTTCTTGATTAGCGCCTTCCAGGACAGCACGTGTCAGAGAAACAGCTACAGAACCCTTCTCCCATCCAGTGCATCCAGCTCTGTGCCCGTCATCACCTCAGTGGTGTTGAAAGTAATTGGAGATTAGGCATCTCCACGCCCTTGGAAATCTACCTCCTGCTAAAGTGACTGCAAACCTCTGTGCCCTTGGAGTGCTTTGAGTCGTATTCTGGCCATCTAAGGGGGTGCTGAGTGGGAGGTGAGCCCCTCCAACACCTGGCAAACTCCACACATCCCTACGGGTACCAGGGCATTGAAGACAGCGGGGAACTGGCGGAGTTACAAAAGTGGGTCAACTCACCTGTGAAGTATTCTGGGTCAGGTACTAAGAAGCAAATAAGCTCTTTATGTTGCCTAAATTACAAGTGGGTAAACTTCGTGTACTGGGATTTATCCCTGACTACCCTGCTAAAGGAATGTGCTCCAAAATGGCTCATGCTGAAGAGGACACGGTCAAGCACCTTTGGTGGAGGAAACTAAGTCAGCAGCCCCCAAATGGTCTGGTGTTAATGGATTTAATGCTTCCCCTCCCCTACCTGGTGCAGTAACTTTTCTCTAGGGACAAAGCTTAAGAAAGAATCAGCCAAGCCCTTGTGTAGCTTGTGGTTTGGCTTCCTGCCCGCTCTGCCCTTCAAGCAGGAAATTCTCAAAGGGAAGGGAGTGCTTTGTGAAGCTACCTTAAGACTCTGCCACTTCTCTTGTAGTCAGAACTTAACATCAGGTCATCTGGAACTCCTGGAAGCTGACCAGACAGACTGATGGCGCCTACAGAAGACATTTAAGCAACTTCTCTACCTTGATCATTTTCCCTCATCTTTTGTCCTTTACGTCCTTGATTGCTGTTATTCAGACCTGAGATAATACACTCCTGATATCACTGAGATGGGAGAGACAAGCAAGGAGGAAGAGATCAAAGGAAGGAGAAGAAAGAGAAGATGCCAAAGGCAGAAGAAGAAAGAAGGAAGATGCCAAATACTTCCTTGATTTACCTACTTTACATACCCGGCACACAAAGTTTCAGAAATTCTTAATGTACTTAATTTCCAGAGTTCTGGGTTTGCCACGTAATCACCAGACAGCAGGAGACTGTCAGCAGGGGCCATGGGCATCCTCTTTTCCACCAGCAGAGGAAGTAGCTTGAAAGCTGGATCCAGAAAGCCCAGGAGGCCCTTGGCACCTGTGAGCGTTGGCCGGACTTGAAAAGAAACCCGGCAGCACAAACTGGGAGACGAGTACGGCTAAAATATCTTTCTGCTTCCCTCTGCCGGCCAGAAAACAGCAGTACCTATGTAATTCCTGCAAAACAGGGAAGGGTCGGGGTGAAGAACAGCAAAAGATAAGAGGGGTCATCTTGCACTGTCACTACACAAGCATTAACTCAACTGATTTCTTTGAATTTGCTCCTGAATTTCAGAAATGCAATGTACGTGTGTCCTGGAGAGCTCAAGAAGATTGGAAATGGGGTCAAATACAGGTGGGTGAACAGGCAGGGAGATGGCAGAGAGCTGGGCGCTGTATGTGGAGTAATTTCAAGGTTTAAACCAATAATATTCCTGTACCGTTTTTCTCATCCTGTTATCAGTTGTGATTACAAAGTTAATTTAACAACCTTGATCTAAACTTAGTCGCTATTCCTGTTACAAAACAGGACCATTATGAGTTGCAAAAAAAATTCAAAACAAAACCATAAACTTCAAACATTTTTGTTACTCCCTGGGTGATACCGAAATCTCTTTGACTGAGGGTTAAATCCCTCTTTTTCTTAGTCTGAGATTACTTTTCTATGGTATTTATAAGGGCTGGAGGAAATCTTAAAACCTAAAAGGAACAGCCAACGATACCAGAATTCTGAATATGGAGATAAAGGAAACATGTAACTACAACTCCAGCTCTCATTTAAAATGTGTAAGTTAAAGGCAAATCTAACATTAATGCAGTATTCAAGTCAAGAAATCAGCAGTCATTTCTGCATTGAATTTCCCTGTTTTATTTAAGCAGCAAATGGGAAAAAAACACTTTGAAGCACAACTGTTGATGAATGGGCTTTAAGGGTGACTCAGTGCTGTTCCATCGCTTTTGCAGATTGTCCTCATTTACTGAGTCAGGCATCTTCACAACTCCCTTCACTGGACTGACCCTCTCTAAATTAAAAATCTGAAGAGAGATGCTGAGTGCCCAGCTCCTGCTGAACTCGGATGCTGGGCTGCCTCGTGCCACCCATGAAGCACTGCATTTTGCAGGCCTGGAATGAACTGCCTTGTCTTGGCGCTCTTGTTGACTGCCAAGAAATGGTGAGGTGAAGTCACTACTATTTTTCAAACTGCATAGTCTTGCACAGACATATCATGACAAAAACACTGATCCCTCATCTAATCAAGCTCTGGCATTAGTTACTGCCAGTCACAGAGCTGCACTAGTGCTGCATTGGGGAACTATCAATATAAGGTCACTGAAAATATGTGTGCTTCTGAACAAGGACAGTACAGGTCTTAAGGTAAGCTCTGCAATTAGAGGGAAGGTTAGTGGGGGGAAGAGGTCTGAGCAACTGTCAGGGAGAGGGCTCTTATGGAAGTGATGTACAGGATGAAGAGGTCAGTGAGCAAACAGCAAACTTTCCACTGCTTTGCAAAACGCACAGCAACCAGAAGGTTATGATCTGATGATCCTTATCCCCTTGTGCTGGTTTGTCCCCAAGGGGAGCAATTTTGGACCTGAAACAGCTCTAAATGGCAGCGGATATAAGTTGTTTCAGTTGACGCTTCCAATTGGTTGGTTTTATTAATGAATCCTTGCATCCTTGCTGTGCTTTGAAGGAAAAACCTTTGCGTGGTTGGGGTCTTCCTTCTTCAGCTGTGAAATAACTGTTTAAAACAGCTTAAAAGTGCTGTTCCTGTTACAGCTGTACACGGTTACTGAGGAGCACTTTTCTGCTTGATGTGCCCTGTCCCCTGTCCTCACAACGCCTGTAAGCACCTGTGGGAAGGCAGGTGTCCGTGTCACAGAGCTACTGCCCGTCCAGTGTCACCACTCTGGGTGGCCCCACCATTTTGTTTCCAAAACAAACCAGTCAGAACCACTGAGGTGCCGCAGACAGACAGGGCCTGGACGGGCCGGGCTGGTTTTCTGCAGAGATGTAACCGGTCGGCCAGAACCTTTTGTTTTCTCCATGCAACGAACCGCTCCAGCGACAGCTGCCCGCTCACAGGCCGATAGTACCAGGAAGGGCCTGCAGGGAAGCAGCGGCCTGAGGGAAGGCCTTCTCCGTAGCCACCGGAAGCACCGCAAGGCCCCGCCCCGGTGATGGCGCGGTGCAGGCTGGGAATGGCAGGTACCGGACCGGGTGAGAGAGGTGCGCGCCGGGGGTGTCCCCTCCTTGTCCCGGTGAGGCGGCCGGGCGCGGTCGGTACCTACTGGTGACTGCTCGAGCGTCTCGGGGGGCTGCGGTACCGGCGCCTGAGGGAACGCGTACACCTGGTTGCCGAGACAACGGCCGACCCCGCTCTCCTCCAATCACAGCGCCCGTTACTTTGCGCCCTCCGGAAACCGCCCAATCACAAGCGAGCCCTTAAAGCCGCCGCTGCGCGCGGTTGGCTGAGGTGGGTCGGGGGCGATGTCTTCGCGCACGCGCCGTAAGGATGGCCCCGCCCCCGCTCGAAAGGAGCGGCGGAACCCGGCACCTTCCTCCCGCCCGCCCCCTCGGAACCCTGCGCCTCAGGCGGGCTCGGCCCATTGGCTGAGCCAGGCCTCACCCCCGCCCTCCAGCCAATCCCCGCCGGCAGCCGCGGCCCGGCCCCAGATTGACAGGTCTGGCGGCAAATGGGAAGGCGCGGGCAGGAGCGGCCGGCGGGGCTCGGCCGGGAGCCGAAGTTGTGGTGCGAGGGCCCGGGCCATGGGGACAGGGCGGGCGGCGGGCGCGGGCCGCTCCCGGAGGGGGCAGGTGAGTGCGGGGGGAGGCCGCCGCCTCTGTCCCTTCGGTGCGGCGAGTCTTCCGTGAGGGATTTTGATGGGGAACTAAACCCCCGCTGGGTTCCGGCTGCGGATCTTGGCTGGGCAGGGCGGCCGGCGGCGGGGAGGGCGGCCAGGGGCACCCTCAGCCGGGTTCCTCGCCATGGTGGCGGCTTTGAGCCCCTTCTCCCCTCACAACGGGGTGTTTCTGCCCTCTCACGGCCAGGCTGCCGTGCTGCCTCCGTGCCCCTAACGCCGGGACAGCCTGGGAGTTCAAGTAGTCCCTCCCAGGCCGAGGTTGGCCCAGAGAGTTGGGGTGGCCTGGGCATGGGATGGGTCCTGCTGCCTCAGGATGTGGCCACACAGGCCAGTTGCCCAGGGTCTGAGTCTAGGGAATGCTCAGCCTGCACCAGTTTGGCTGGTCTTTGAGTGGAGCAACGGGGACACGTCAGTTGTGAGGCTGACACCCCCATGGGGTCTGTCCCCCAGCATCCCCTCTGTACACAGGGGTCTTTCCACCGGTCCCCCCTCTCAGGGTTCCTGGTGCTCCTTGAGGTCTTTGGGGGAAGAAGCCATCGTGGTACACAGGGCTTTCAGACCGGTTTGCTGTGTGCAGTGCTTTCCAGACACCCAGAGTGAGTCTGCCCCTGAGGAATTCAGCCTCCGAACTCTGCTCACAGCAGTTACGCTGGCGTGACCTCAGTTTATGTGGAGAGCAGCACTGTCATCCCCAGCACGTGGGGATGGTGTGACTAATGCGATGCTGCCTCCCGAGCAGGCAACGGGCAGTAGAGAAATGAAAAGCAGGGCTTGGAGGACTTCGGAGACTCTTTTTGATAAGGGCTTTCCAAATGGCAAGGCCTGATGTTAAATGCCAACTGAATAAATCACCCTTGGGGCCCAGCCAGTTTGCCAGCTCTTGTAAAGCAAGGTCTGTGTTCTGTTTTTGAGACTTTGTAAGAAGGCATTTAAAAAAATCTATTTTCTCTGCTGGTGTGTGCAGCTTTTGGGTTGATCCCAGGGTTTTTTCTGTGGCCTATCCTTCAGCAGGATTTCATTTGCAGGTTTTGGACTATTGAGTTCATTTCATCTAATTCTTTTTTTTCTTTTTTTTTCTTAGTGTCACCTTGGAGGATTATAACCTTGCTGCCACACTGACTGGCTGGAAATATTGGCTTATCTACACTTCTGCCTGTGGTGCCTACCCTATCTTGGTGTAGTCTGGTGGAGAAAGAAAAGCAGCAGAAAGGCTACAGAGAAATTTTTTTGTGCTTCACTGAAGTAATTGTTGCTTGTCCAAGGCAAACAGGATGGATGGGAAGAAGTGGTACCAAGTCTCAGATAAGGCAGTTCCAGTAGAGTCCATATTTCTTCTCTAAAGAGAAGTTCCAGCATCAAAGAGGCTGAAAAGCAAACACTCCAACCAACCAAAATGGAAGGAGGCAACAGTCCAAATCTCCAACTTCAGCAGCTCCCATTGGCCACAGCAGCAGTTTCTGTGCAGCCACACACCGACTCCTTTTCTTACAAGGTCAGATTTCTACCCCGGTCTGTCCCTAGAAGGCCTTAACTATTCAAATAAGCTGATAATGCCACTGTATTTTGGTTATTTTTTTTTCAGAAAGCGTGCTGTCTTTGTATTTAGCCATGCCCGGAGGCCCCAGTGTATTATATCGTGTGTATATAAACTGTGAGAGAAAGGAGGAGAAATTCTGTGTCCTGAAGAAAGGACTAACAGTTAAAAGATGTGGATGTCTAAAGGTGGTCAGGTGCAATAAATTCTGCTAGGTGCCTTTTCAGACTAACCTGTACATCAGTAACTGGGATCAGATGTCCTGGTCTGCTGTACATGCAAGTGTTTGAACTTCAGGTGGGGGAGCCCACAGTCACACAGAGCCTGCTGCTGAGGTAGGACGTGATGCTGTAGTTCCTCCTTATTCTCCAACTGGGAACAGAGCTATTCCCAAACCAATTTCCTCTGAATCCCTGATTCTGAATGTTCTTGGAGAATCCCAGCAAGAAGGGCTTTTTTTTTTTTTTTTTTTTT